AGAGTCTTGTTCCGTTGCTGGGTCAGTTTGTCAAGGTTTCGACGAAGGTTTTCTCAACCATCAGAGGTTTCGTCAAGGGTTTAGTCAATCGTCAGGGGTTTCGTCAATCGTCAACAGTTTCGTCAATCGTCAAGGTTTCGTCAGGTATGTAATTTGACGATACCTTTCGCCAATTCAAAAATAATTTCGTCAAGCATCTTTAATACACTCGTTTCACTCCGTTCCTAGTATTTCTTCTTTTATTCAAGTTTTAGTCCTCTAAAGCTAGCACTAACTCCGATGCATCAATAAAACCATCAACTATTTCTAGAGTGTTGATTTTATAATTTGATAATGCCAGCAATTTCGCATAAGAGCAATGCCCTGACACGAAGAATTTCTAAATTTTCACAGTTTATTAACGCTCAGAACTTCTCACTATAATCATAACATTCTATTATAACCTCTCGTAATGATTGTTTTTGACTTTCTAATGCCGAAATGATGTCGTAATATTTCGCAGAATGACTAAGCTGAATTGCCATCTTGTTCTTGTGTTTAATAATATGTATAAGCTCATGAAATATTTGTGGATCATAACTAGAATAAAAGTCCTTAAGTTTTAAAGTACTATTCTTTGTAGTATTTTTTTTTTCGAGATTCTTAATAACGTAGTAGCAATTTCGATGCATAGGTCTGATATTATACCCAAAGACAAGTCTTGGAGTCGTGAAAAAATTACTTATTTGTCCTAATAAGTAGAAGATTTCTGGTTTAATTTCAACACCTTCAGAAAAATGTATATCTAATTTGTGCAAAGTGGCGCTCTCTCAATAAATATTTTGAACGGATAAATTCATTATGCGACATTTCAATGTGTGATAGGATGATTTTGAATCAATAAGCTGGAAATCGATCTTACTTTCTAGACGAGATAAATCGAGAACCTTTAGAAATTTTGCATAGTCAAATAGTGTGTTTGAAAATTTTGCATTTATTATCCAAAAACGAAAAATATTTGGAAATAAATAACAGATAATGATCGAAAGAAATGGAGTTTCACAAAGCATAGGAATTGAAAGTTTGCACCAATGTCTGCTCACAAGTGCGCACGAATATAAGGAATAAAATTCATTATTAAAATAATTAAGAATATTTTCACTAATTCGGGCATATCACCCGCTAATATTTTTGATGGCATGAATTAGTTTTGTGATATAGAAAGACAGTTGTAGGAAATTGTTTTGTAACAGGGCTTATTAATACAATAGACTTTTCTGCATACGATCACCTGATGATCCCTAACTACCAACAGGTGGGCCCATCCCACCATTCGTAGATAATTACAGAATTAAGATAAAAGAATTTGCAAACGAACTGTCAAATATGGCAATACTCAGAAGGATATTTGATGCAAATAAACTTAAATATGATTCCCTGACATTTGAATTCGATACTGCAAATGAAGGATTTGAGCTTTACAATGATAATTAATAAAGATCAGAGAAAAATGGATCACGAGAACGTAAAAGAAGATCTTGAAGAAATTAAAGTTAATATATAAAAATAATATATCAACCAAAATGTAAATTTTTTACTAACATTAGTTCACTGTAGTGAATTGGCTCGAATATATCATGATCGATTATTGATCGAGTTGAGTCAATAGTTGAGCAAGACTCGATCAAAAGTAGGTCAATTATTGATCAATAATGTTTGATCGATCAGATAGTTGAATTTGATCGATCAAAAAAATTTTATAGAATACACATTATTATTTTTAGATTTTTTTCAGTAGATAAGATATAATCGATCAATAATTGACCTGATAATTGATCGATTATATATACTCGAGCTTATAAATTATATGCTTGATCTATCATACTCGATCAAGTTTATATAATTGATTTTTGATCGATTAAGCAAAATTTTTTTTGGTCAATCATCGAGCAATGATTTATTTGTCGAACCAATTCACTAGTTCATTGATATGTAGATTCTTAATTACATTATCATTGACAGCAAAGTTTTTTCAATAAGTTTAAATGATGAAATCTCATTTTGTTAATCAAATTAGCACGGATTCTCAAGAAGATAAACTGCACGTTATTTTTAATCCGAACGTAATAGATGCAAGTCAATTACATTACTGTTATACAAATACGAAGAGAATCAGAGAAATATACTAAACTAGTTATCGACGTAGAATGTAAATCCATAACTCTTAATAGTTCTTGAGGTTTACGTATGAATCAAAAAATCCAGACAAATTAGGAACATGTCAATATGTTTCAAGTTTTATGGAATATCCTATTTGATGGAAAAAATATGCAAGTATTAGATTGGGCCAAACTAGGAACTTTAAATATTTTTACAACCAGCATGATATCGGATGGGAAACATAAATAGGTATAGCTCGTGATATATATCGCAGTCTTAAATTTTTAGATTTTGTCAAAGTGTTACATCACAACATTTGTTGCGAAAGTTGCTATAATATTGTTGTAACGATTATAAATTTAATGTATTAATTTAAAAATAACAATTAATTATTGTAACAGCTAACAGAGTGTTATGAGCCTAAGATTGCAAATTTTAATACGGCCCGCGAGCATGATGGTATTATTAAAATATGGATTTATTACGTTGGATGGCACCTGAAAAAAATGAACGGAGAGTACTCTAATACAAGTTGTTAAAATTTTTATTTAATTCAAACTATGTATTAATAATATATTTATTTAAACTTTGTTTATTAAAATTTGGATGTTACTTTGGGAGCTTTGTTTCGAAAATATTCATACAATCAATCTGATTGTGGAGAAATAATTGGGATTGTTTTCTGTGCAGCAAATTATCTGAAAGAAAAGAAATCCGAAATTAGTTTGCAAATATTATAAAATCAGGTATTTTTATTTTCAATTTATATGCTAAATGGCTTAGCTGATATGCTTAAGTATTTTTATTGATTTTGTAGTTTGGGAACATTCGCCAAACCAACGAGTAATTATGGATGCATTACTTACACAGCCAAGAGTTTTCTGATAAATATATTGAGCCTTGCTCCTTGCAAAAACATATCCTAATAAGCAACTATATTTGGGTGGAACACAATTTTCAAATAAATTTGATGAGCCTCTTGATGAAGGAATAAAACTTCATCAACAAATAGGAAATAATGATCCTGAAGAAAAGATAAAACGAAAGCAGGCATTGAGTGTTTTTCAGAAAATGCTGACTTTGGAAATTCGAGTGCGAAATATGGGAAAGGATACTTTTATTTCAAGGTTATTATGCCTAAAAAGGTCCTAAAGAAACAATTCAACTCTTTAAAGAAGCTGTGGATGAGGATATCCCTGCAGCGCAATTACGCTATGCATCTACTATTTTCATAAGAAAAAAATGGACAAATTCATAAAATATCTCATGTTTACTGTCTTGTAGAATTGGAATAAAAAAAATTTATCAACTTTTGTTTGATAGTCATCAAGAATCCACATAAATGTTAAAAAAAACTAGATATATTACCGAATGTATAAGTGTAAATTTGTAAAAAATATAAATTATTTTATAAATTTTATGCAGGATCATAAGCATTGATTATTATCATAATTATTTTAGTGAAATATCAAGTTTTTAAAATCTAGTAATAAAACGGCGGTTTCATAGGGCTGGTTTATTGTTAATTGTAAGTAATTAATATGCACGTGAACAACAATTTTTAATAATTAAACAGTTACATAGTGAAAATTTATGCAATAAGCATTTCTTTAACTTGATTGAGTTAAGGAAATTTAGCAAGAATTTTTTTTTAACATATCGGAATCCTATCATTCTCAACTGAAAACCTTTTTGGTGTTAATTTTCCTTTAACGCATCTATTACATAATCCATCTCATATACTAATACAATAGCAAGAAAATTCACTTTACAAAAAGGACAAAAATTAAATTTGATTGCAGAAACTGCATTATGAAATTTCTTTAAAAGATTACAATCGTCATCAAAAAGCTGGAATGCAAATAGCAGTGGTAAGTTATTTGGTTCTAAAATTTTATTTATAAATAAATGATTATATTTATAATTTGCGATTTTTATCATTAAATTGGATAAATATATAAAATAATAATATGTTCATTACCTTGGTTTATTCTCTTAATATGATTTTGACGTTTGCGACGATCTTGTCTTTTTGTTAGTTCATTATTCGATAACCCGTTCTTGTAGGTGTCATAAAAGCTAATCTTCTCTTTAGTATCATTCTTACAGCCGTTTGTTCAGGCGTATAAATTCTTTTACATTTTTACGCCTTAATATAATAAATTATATTAATCAGTTTGCTTTAATGAAGTCTTATTTATTATTTTTTTTTGAAGATCTTTTAATAATTGGATTTCTGATTAACAGTTGTTAATGATCAGGCTTTAATTAAAATTTCTACGGGGATAGTAATAGGCCAAATACGTATATATCAACATTACAGGAATGGGTGCTGGACTTTGTCTCAAATTAGTAGAGTATGGAAAGGTCTTCCATTCCACTCCCTCCGCTCAAGGCCTTATTACAGATAATACAATTCGTTTAACCAGACTAAACAGTCAAATTTTATAGTTGCACTTTCTGAAGTTAATTTCACATTTAAAATATTATAGTTTTGTTGTTTTTATAGTCTCTTCATTTAGTTTATTATGATTATAGATAACACACAATGCTGAGCAGAAATGACTTTAATCGACGCTTTCACAGATCATTTTGGTGGTTATGTTAATATAGTTAGCAATATGACAATGCGTCTTTCAGCTTTTACAGCGTTTAGATGCTATTAATTCTACCATGAGTCACATTGCCGCAATGGCACAATTTGGCATTTCTATGCCAACTATAATTTAGAAATTTTGTATTGAAAAAACCAATTCAATCCCTTTGCTAAAGCCCAAATATTTATTAGTTCTCCACTTTAACTTCATGATTTGATTTTCAAAATTCTTAGACATGCATAATCATATCCAACCATTACACTATATTATAATGTTATTACCTTTTTATATTTGCATAACAGGACATGCCCGATGTGTATGCCTGAAACCTCACTACTAACTAATTAATGGTGATATATTTTTGCCCATAAAACATTAATTATTTATAACATTCTATGTGAAATTTCTAATTTATTATTATTACAACTAGAATGCAATTTTGACTTTATTCTTGTGTGATGAGGCTATAGGGCCAGTCTTGAGCTGAGTCTTTGGTTGAGTCTTTGGTTGAATCTTTGGATGAGTCTTCAGTTAAATCCTTGGATGAGTCTTCGGTTGAATCTTTGGTTGAATCTTTGTTTTCAATAATTTTTTTGATTTCAGGAAGTAAATTTGATTTGATTTCAGGAAGTAAATTTTTTAAAATTTCATCATCATCTTTAAATTCAGCGATTTCTTTGATTTTGGGAAGTAAATTTTGTAAAATTTCATCTTCCTGTTCATCTTTAAGATTCTTTACATATTTTTTAAGTTCATAAACTGAAGCCTCGTAATATCTAAATATTTAAATCAATATATTAACATATAAATAATATTTGCAATATAAATAAATAATAATAATTACAAAGCTTCTGGAAACCAGGTTTTCTTTCTTCTTTGATGAGGAAGCATCCAAAAAAGTTCGATTTCAGCTAATATCTAGTAATAATATGATTATTTTAATTTTTAAATTATAATTTATTTATAATGCATTTATAAAATATAAACAAAAAATTCACCTCTCCTCTTAAATGTAAAAAAGACTCTTCATTATATGTTTGATTAATAGCATCTCCAAGTAATGAAATGAACAG